CCCACCCCCAACAAACCAGAACCAGCAACACAAAGGCAAACGGCTAACCTGACACACAAAAAAAGAAAAGAAAAACTCCACTTTTTTATGTCAAAGGAAACCGGTATTGATGAATTGATCATTGATCATCCATTCCCATTTTCAATAGGATGGGATGAGAACTGTCAAAGTTGGAAGTCGTATTGGCACCTGAATTTTCCTGTTCGTAATTCATTGCATCTGTCAGGATTCTCTCAAAGAAGCACAAACTTCAGCAGCAATGACCAAATTGAAAACCATCTGGAACGACAGAAATATCACCTTCAGATCAAAGATAGACTGATGCGTTCCCTGGTCATGTCTATTATTGTATGCATGTGAATCCTGGACCTTGAATGCAGACCTTGAAAGAAAGATCAAAGCTGTGGAGATGAGATGCTTCCGAAAAATCCTTGGTATCTTGTACAAAGATCACATCACAAATGATGAAGTCAAACAACGGATCAAATACGAAATTGGACCATACGCTGACCTGCTCTCTCTGGTCAGGAAACGCAAACTGCATTGGTATGGACACATCACCCGTTCATCCGGCCTAGCCAAGATGATCCTGTAAGGCAGCGTCCAGGGAAAAAGGAACAGAGACAGACCGAAGAAGAGTTGGGAGGACAACATCAAGGAATGGACTGGCCTGGAACTCAAAGACACGCTCAGAAAAGCTGAAGACCGGAAGGAGTGGAGGAAGCTGGTGGCCAAATCTTAAAAAACACCCCAACGGACATGCAGTCTTTGGGATAGGTGAAGGTGAATTCTTTGCTCTATGGTATGGGACTTGCGTTTGCAGGGGGATGGTCGGATCATGATGTTATTTGTTTATTTACTACTGGGTAAAAATTGAGAAATAGTTTCCAGTCGGGTGTGTGTGTGTGTGTGTGTTTCAGACATAATTCCTCCTGCTAGCTGTAAACTTAAGGAAGCACACAGGTTTATTTTGTTATAAAATGCTACAGCATCAGCCCACACACACACACACACACACACACACACGCACACGCACACGCACACGCACACACACACACACATTCGGGTCCGTGTTGCCTTTTTTCTGTTTGGCTCCTCCTTTCCCACCCTCCTCCCCTTTGCCTTCCCT